ATTGCGAGTTTGGTCTCATGAGGCCTCTCATTCCGATACTAGGTAGAACCACTCTTTATTGTAGAGTTACCTCCTTTGCATTTTGTTTCCTTTGCACAATAGCTCAAGGTCAAGGACTATTGTCTGGAGATACTTCAACAAATCTTCAAGTTCTGTCAGAAATTCTTGATTGGATTTAGCTCTGGATCAACACATGAACATGCTTTGATCAAAGAAATTCTATTAAAGCATTGGGTGTATGTTTGGGTCACTGCCCTGATAGGATTCGAACCCCCTGCACAGTCTCAACTCTTTTGGAGCCTCAAAAAGGTTTCCTTCCACTCATTATTACTCTTTATTTAGCTTTTCTGCCTTGCAATCAACTATGACAAGTTCCCCTGCCCTTACTGATTAAATAGTATATCTCACAGCATGATTTTGCCACAATAATGTTTCACTGTGAGAACTGTTTCCTCAAGGTCAGATTCAGCGTTAGTTTTCTGCCTCTTGTAGTGTTTTGTGAGAACACTAGAAAAGTCATCATTGGTCTTTGCCATGAATTGTGGAGGAACTAGACCTAGTTGCAAACAGGACAAAGACAGTCTTATGCTGGAAATTATTTTTAGATAACCCTACAAAAAAAACAAAGAACGATTATGGTAGGTAAAAAAGAAAATCTACTGAGAAAACAGCAAGATAACAATAAACGGCAAAAGACAGATAGACAGACAGACTGGCAGGACTAGAAATGGGACAACTGGTAAGGAGTAAAAGAAACTGACTTATAACTGGAGAATATATATTACATCGGAATCAGATGTAAATGTACTGAGCTGTGTAGAAGAAGAAAAAATTAACACTACTAGAAAAGAGATATGCATCTTTGTCACGTGCCTGGTTACACTAAATGATTCGCCTGAAAAAATCTCACCAATCAGATTGTTGGTATAAAATTCATAGACTTCAAATGTCAACAGTGACGTGATCAAACATGCATCGGCACACTGATTTAACACCTTTGCTGCATGAGCACATGTGAGTCTAAGCCTCAGGTGCCAAAGGCCGTCACTGATGACAGTCTCATCTAACCAGACAACCCTCTTCCTCCTATTTGCTAAGTCCCTCTTTGCGGCTAGGGGCAATCTCTAAATTACATGGTTATGGCATCTTTTTTTTTTTTTATAAAGTCAGTAAATGAATTCTGTTTAGACTTTTCGGTGTAAAGAGTGTGAATAAATATGTCTGCCAAACTTCTGAATTTATAATAAACTTTCAAAGCTTGTTGTTAGTATTTTGACAAACATGAACATGCTTACGGGTGTTAATACTGTCACAAGGCACTTTTAAATTCTTACAGCTTTTAGAGTGCATATGTTACTGTTATCCTCCTTGCTTATTTGGTTCTTTACAACAGAGGTGGATTTATGCAGTGGATTGTTTCCTTTACAATAGCTGAACCTTCCTTCTGCAAAACTTCCATATATAATCCATGCACAGCGCTGACTAAAGCTGGAGGTGGAAGATTGTATGCTGCAAGTTGGTGATATATCTTACCTGTTTTTTCTTCCACTTGGATTCTATATTTCATTGGAGCCTTAACTTTTTACATTTTAAACCCATACCTTTACAATAATATAAAGAATGTTTTTCTCTCATACCTATTTGTCTATTGAAGTACAAGAAAATGGTGATAAGTCCTGATAAAACTAACCCATTACATACAGTAGAGTACAGGTATGCCAGAGGTTCATATTTCTCCTATCTTACTACCTATCATTGGCTTTAACCCTGAATAGAATTTTAAATTTTCATAAATAACCAAGCTTCATCTCATATCGGAGATATATTATTTTACTAATAGAGCACTCCGCTCTCCATCTGCAGGTTTACTAGTGCTTTCTAGAATTTCTCAAAGTACAATGTGGTACAATGGGAGGCAGATCTTTTAGTTATCAGGCTCCTCTCCTGTGGAACAAACTACCAGTTTTAGTTCCTGAGGCAGGCATCCTGTCTATTTTTAAAGTAAGGCTTAAAATTTTCCTTTTTGATAAAACTTACAGGTGGCTCAGGTTACACTGCTATAGGCTTAGACAGCTAGAGGAGATTGTGACCACTTTACTCCATTCTGCTTCATTCTATCCCTCTTCAATTCTGCAGTATTTGTTACTTCAACCCCTAACTGTATGTGCTCTCTTTCATCCCTTTGACATGTAAACTGGCTCAGAGCTCATTTTCCCAAAAGTTTCTTTTCTAGACAGCGACACCTGAGGAGCTAGTTCACACTTACCTTTTCTAACATAGAAAGTATTTATGTATCAGTGCTCCTATGTTCATTTTGAAAGACTGAATCCTCAGTCTGCCTAAACAGAAGGCTGCTTACACTAAGCCTGGTTCTGGTGAAGGTTTTTCTGTTAAAATGACTTTTTTCTCTCTACTGTCGATGTATGCATGCTTTGTGGTAGGGATTGCTATACAGTCAATGACAAAATGTAAGCAAATATCTACTATTAATATCTACTATAATCCAAAGACTTTATGTAATCAGCTGGATTCCCTCAGATAGACAACTCTTAACTAATCTGACTATGATTTGATTGATCTGTCTGTAAAGGGCTTTGCAATGACATGTGATGTGAATTTAGGCTATATAAATAAAATTAAGTGAGTTGAAAATGAATCAATGGCTTAGTTGATTTGTAGAGTTTTGTTTTTGCTTAAAAATATGGCAATGTTATTTCGACCAGTTCCCCAGAAGGGTTAAAAAATCTGGAAAAACTAACATTACACAAAACCTATGGCTGAATCCATGATACTTTATTACATTATTAATATTGTAGAGGTGTTATACAGAGAAATAAAAATAATGAAATAGGATGCTATTTTTCTCTTTCTATTAATAAAACAAATTTCAGTGCAAGGATTTATAAATTGAGCGCTGTCTCTATGTATGGGCCTTCTTCACATTCCCCTTGAATGTTTTAAAATGACAGTGCATTTTCCTCAAGAAGCTGAACTTGACCCACTTGGATAAAAAGTTTGCCTCCTCTAAATCTTGCCTGGATTAAGGGGCTGTGCAGGAAGAAATGGTGGAATGAGACGTGAAAGCACTATGAGGTGAGACGGAGTTTGCAGTATATGCAATGAGTGGGAGTGGAAATTCATGGTGCATTTTTTTGTGTGTGTGTGTGAAGTGAATAGGTAAAGCTTAGGGACATAGGTTTCGTGCTCCAGCTGCACCCCCACCCCTCAGGGAGTGATAGATTGTAGGGTGTAGCAGAACGGAGAAACGCTGGATGATTGAGAGGAGGCAGAACGATTTAGCGAGCGTTATCACAAAAGAGGAGAAATGTTTGACCTCCCGCTGTGTGTAAGATTGTCTTATATTGATGGCTTCATCGTGAAGAGTCTTCTCAGGTGTTTTATCTCCTCTTACGCTGTATGTTGTTTCAAAGATAAATCTATTTCTCTGAATCATCTACTCTCCAGCCCTTTAATTGGCGTTCACTCTGCAAAAGCAATCCACAGGTGTTTCTTGAGACTGGCTTCATTTAATCGTTCACTTTCCCTGGGAAAGTAGTAAACACACACAGATTGGAGACGAGCTGAAAGTTACCTCACTTTATTATTATTCTTACTGGCCCCAGCCCACCGTGCGGCAAAGCAACTCAAACCGTTTTGTTGCCATGCTGCCAGAAAGGATTTTACTTTGATAGGTGACGCTTTCAATAAATCTAGTATTTCTTTTCATTGTGAAATAGAGAGACGAGAAAGATGTGAAGAGGGGGAAAAAAGCGAGAGACTGACCCATCTGTGTATGCAGGAGTTGATGATTAAATCTCTCTAGTGATGTAGCTCTGCGTGATGAACTCAGGAGGCCTACAATTGTATCTGTATGCCACATGTGAGGAAGCATAAAATACCTCCATAGGGGCCTCTTTGAAGAGCCCTTCTAGTTGCATCGAACCAGGAAACTGTGATGGAGATAGGTTTTTTTTTTTTTTTTTACATATGCATGACCTCACTGCAGGATGACCACCTAAGTAGATAAAAGTAAAATTCCACCAGTTGTTGCCTGGAATACATATTCAGTGAGTGAATACCTTGCATAAGTTCTCCATAGTCTGATTTTCTGTGGTTTCTAGCTGATTGTTACACATATCAATACTTCCCTTCCTTCCTCTCTTTTTCTTTGTCTTTTTCAGAGTCCACTGTGTTCTTTCCTGAACCGATTCACTCAGTTGAGGAAGACGTAGGGGAGCTTTTCATCCCCGTGCACCGCAGTGGAGACATAAGCGATGAACTGATGGTGGTCTGCTCCACACAGCAGGGTAGGATTCCACTTCACTATTTTCCTTATATCCCTCCTTGTTGAGATGGATGAAATGTTGGGACAACCTTTAAACCATGATTAATCATTTTAAATATTTATTTTTGATAATTGGAACTTGTAAAAATTAAAACTAATAAAAAATCATAAAATATGTTGTTGTTTTTTAATATATGAATATTATTATTACTATTAATCAGGCACAGACACTCTGCAGAAGGAAAGGCAAACCACAAAAGGCCACGTTGAAGAAACCAGCTGTGCAGGGGTCTACTTACATACTATACCTTACACATTTCAACACCAATACGTAGGTCACTCTGGTTGTAGAAAAGTCTTCCAATAAAATGCTGGCATCCAGTTGTTTGTTGTTATTTTTTTCCCCTGTATTTCTGTTTTTTGTTTTATACTTATATTTAATAGTAAACAAAGTGCTTTGCTTGTTCCTATAATGTATCTACCATAACAAGGCCAAGTATCTGTAGGTGTGACATTGCTGTGTGTGCAATAACTAAACACGGAAAAGCCATGGACATATATTATTATATGATAGGTGTGAAAAGAAATGGGAAATGTCCAAGATCAAGTATGAAAAGAACAAACAAATATTGAATGTCAGGATGGAAAGAAATATTTATTGTTGGACGTCAATATGAAAATGTCTACCGAAGCTAAGGCTGCAAGAATCATTTAGATTTGCTGATGGATGCATCGCTATACGACCATAGTTATAGCAATGCTGTCCTTATATTCTAAGGTGAAGTGACCAATGTATTCACTATATTAAATAATATTCTTTATTGTTCGAGTAGCAAAGAATGCTGGTAGATAGCTCCTAGCAATACTTATGTGTGCTGATCTCTGCCCCATACCAAAATTATTTTCAGGCTTTAAAAAGATTCAGTAAGCACTATACAGATGAATGCTTATATGTTGATTTATTTGAAGGAGAATATATGTGTTTTTGTGTTCATCTTATGCTCATAGTACAAGACCCTTTAACAGAGTTTTTCTTAGAGTAGATAAATGGAATGTAAAGAAAGGAGACATTGTGTTAGAACAAAGCTGATTATGCAATAGGGGCAACTACCACCTAGATTAACAGAATGAACTCCTAAAAATGTTGTTCTGTATGTAATGAAACCCATAAATTAAATATGTTTTAATTTATTTTAAGCTAAACTGCATATATAATAGGGGTGGAATGGTTCACAAAATCCACGGTTCGGTTCACGGTTTCGTGGTCACGGTTTTCGGTTTGGTTCGGTATATGTTAATTGTTACACCGAAATCCCATAAAAATTAATGAAATTGATGAAAAAATCCCCCAAAATTAATGAATTGTAATTATTTTTAATGATCCGCAGAAACCTTGGATAATTTGCGCATGTTTTGCTGCTTTGAATTTAATCATCTCGCATGCCCTCTAAGATCTCCAAGGAACTCAGAGGGGAGCGGACGGGAGCCACAGTGGAGGCTGTAGGCTTTGCTTTGTGCAGGCGGTCTGGTGCACAGCGGGGCGGAGCGGAGCAGAGCGGTGACGGAGTATGTGGGATTTCGGGGTTAGCATGACATGTTGGTCATGTTGCTGTTAGCATAAACAAAACGTGTTGCACAATGCTTGCACACTGTTGCACTTTTATCCACAACTTTCTTTCCGCCGTCATCGTAGGTCACTCTAAATGCAAAGAGCTCCCATACAGCAGACCTATAAAGTGCTGCTGGCACGTCTTCCAACTCCTGTTCTTTCCCACTCGCCATACCCACACAATTCTCCACAACAAGTGATTTTTTTCTGCTACACCCGGCTACGCTGCTTTGCTTCTTCTTCTTCTTGTTTACTACTGGTGGTTGGCTTTGGTCGCAGTACCGCCACCTTCTGCTCTGGAGTGTAATCGCTTCGCCTATGAGAAAAAGGAGCCGCGCATGAACCGAACGCAACACACGCGAATCGAACCGAGACGGTCGAACCGAACGATTCGGACGGTTTTCATAAACCGTTCCATCCCTAATATATAAATAAAATACAATTCAACTCATCTTATAACAATACAGAACAGTTCAATTTATTAAAAACAGTGTATCAGGTGAAGGCTCAGACAACAGCAATCAAGTGATCTACTTTATAATAAAATGTCTTCCTTAGCAAGCATGTGGCAACTGTAGAGAAGAACCAGGCCCTTTTAACGTAAAAGAAAAACTTTCAGACAGTGTCTTATGGTCTTGTGAGTATATTGCACAGTATAATTAAAGATGACTAATGTAGATGATTCAACCACAGTAACTTGTGCAAATAGTTCTTAAGGATGCCTATATCTTTTTAGGTATTACTGAGACTATTTCTGGTTTTCTTCTCTTACTAGCTTCCATGTTTAGAGGGTGCCGCTCTTTTGATAGCATAAATTACCGAATGCTGCGCTCTGTTTTGGCAACACTTACATTATTTTAAATACAGAAGCTCTGTTTTTAGATGAAGGTCCACTTATTGCAGCTTTGAGATAAAAGCTGCATTATTGACTGTAATTTAATTAGCTTTATCCTACATATTGTTGTCTTAGTGGGTTATGTTACCCTAAGATTTGGAATTTGCTGACATGGTGCAGTTTTTCATTAGCATATCATGTTTTAACCAGCTGTTAAACTCTATTAACTTTGCTTTAGTTATTGAACACTTTAGAAAATGTCCATATTCATATTTCTTGATTGGTCAAATATGCACAAAGTATATTTCACCTCTGAGTATATGCCTTTAGGACCTCTAGATCTCATATATTATGTCAGCGCCATCAAACAGCCTCCCTGTCCTGGAGGATGATGTTCCAATCTACAGAGAATGAGCTGTTCTTTATCTTTTTTTTTTCATCTTTCTGTTAAAAGTTCAAGTATCTGTCAAAAGAATGTTACTTCGGTGCTCTGGTTTTCCAAGACTCTTTCTGACAGCATCTAGTCTAGTTACATATTTGTAGCTGCTGACTGGTTGGTACTTCTTTTTGAGTCTTCTACATCAGTTCAAATTCAGCTCCTCTTTAATGTGCTATCAGTTTAACCAGTTTTTTTCCCTACTTTTTACTCTGCAGGAGCTGTTGGTTTGATTTTTTTGGGTGATTTTCACAGGTCAAGTAAATTAAGATTTAAATTTATTCCAACAGTTTGGTTAATAAAAGGATAATGGAGTAGTCCAAATGTACTAATGAGAAGTAATTTCTATTACAAGAATTAGAGTAGTAATTTGGCAATGCATTAACATACAAATGCAAATCTTGTACTCACATTGGTTGTCAGTGGAGTAGATTGTCAATGTTTTCCAGGCCAAGGACCCCCAAACCCCCAAACTGATGGTGAGATGGAGCAGGGACCTACTAATTATATATATATTGTATGAAATTGTGTTATATCAAACTGGTCCTATAGTCACTCTATTACAGATGGAATAATGTAATGAAAGTAATTTCTCCCTGGGATTATTAAAGTATCCCTCATTCTGATTCCTGGTTGATGGGACAGGTGTTGTGAATGAAACGGTGCCCAGCTTGAAAGAGCTCCTCTATGTCACTGAATGTGTGCATTAATGACTGAAAGACAACTGCCTCCACTTATCTGTTTACTACAGTGTGTTGAATTCCTGTTTAAGTTGGATTTAAAGACATTTCAATTAGTGGAAAAATTTGCTGGGGGAATATAAAAAAAAGTCTAATCAACCAAAACTTTCCAAATCCCCATGCAGTACTTTCGTGGACCCCCTAGGGCTCGTGGACCCCCTGTTCAAGACCTCCAGTGTAGATATTATTGTCTGTGTTTTTTCTAAAGTGAACGACTGGCAGCTTTACATTACATCATAGATTTTTTATCTTCAGGATCATCCAATGAAAAGTTAATTGTTGTTAGATGTAAATATTTGGTTTGAAGTTCACAACCATAATTGTTAAGGATCCACTAAACATTTATGAAAAGTTTGTATGTATGTTTATATTCAATTTCTGTGTGAATCATTTCCATTTATAGAACAACAAATGTCTAAAGTTGAATATGCAAGTTCATAGATAGTGAACTGTTGTAATGCATTTCTACTTTACATCAATGTTGCTGATCTTTTCCACAAACTCTTCAAACTTTTCCTCTGCTCCTTTTGTCCTGGTTCTTCCAAAGGTTCTGCCACTGGAACAATCCCCACCGCTGTTCTGTCATACTCGGACTACATTTCCCGTCCAGAGGGACACGGCAGCGTCCTTCGTTTTGACAAAGGAGAAAGGGAAAAGATGTGTCGCGTGGTGATCATCGATGACTCTCTGTACGAGGAGGAGGAGAGCTTCAATGTGACTCTGTCCCTGCCCGTTGGAGGGCGGCTAGGAATGCACTACCCCACCTCTAAAGTCAGTATCCTCAAAGATATGGATGACGGTAAGCTCAATTTTTTTTATTATTATTATTATTATTACTTCAAAGTTGAAGATTATTACTGCTTTGTTCCCACTACATTCACTTAACAGTTTTGTGCTACTTTGTATTAATCTGTATCATAAAATCCCAATAATGACAAAATAGTAGAAGTTTTTTGGATAATTTTAAATAAATATTGAGTGACCTAATCTTCTAGGGATACTGCTGAACTTTGCACAAGATTGTTGCAAGTATAGAATTGAACCACACATGATAACATGTATATTGTCAAATAAAAATGAAAATAGTAAACTGGTAAGATTAACTGTTTACAAATACTGTCAGAGGTTTTTGTAAACTATGCGTTGTGGAGTTTTTCCTACAGGGGGCTGTTTTCAGATTCACTTGACATCCAAAGTAAGACTTTTGGAAAATTAGTTATAGTTGTTCACCATCACAATCAGTTCACCATCTTCCAGGTCTGGCTAATTATGGATTGATATGCCATTGATTAAATGTTGTCATTCAATCAATCCACTCTTTGTCCTTTCTTTCTTTTCTTTGGCCTTTTTTTGTCCTGGTTTTTCTCTTCTCTTGTACCCTTTTTTTCCTGTGCCTCACCTCCATTTCTTCTGTCCTCAATTTTTCTCTTCTTTTTATTCTTGTATCCTTTATTACTTTTTTTTCTTTTGTTTCTTCTTTATTTCGTTTGTCCTTTTCTCCTGGGGACCTAACTCCTTCTCTCCTCAGTATGTTTCCGAACTTTGTTACTTGTGTCCTTTCTTTTTTCCTTCCTTTTATATCCCATTTTTCCTTCTTTTATACAAACTTCTTTCCTAGTGTCTATCCTTCTTCCTATTCTTCACCCCCTCTACCATCCCCTTTTGTTTCATCTTCATTTTCTGACATGTGTCCCCTCTTTTTTCTTTTCTGCTTTGTTTTAGTCTATTGTTCTCAATTCCTCCATCCAAATTTCATGGAAAGCAGCTGTCAAAATATACCATACATATACATTGAAAACTTATGTTCTTTTTTTCAGTAAAAAAAAAGAACTATAAACTTGAGTATTGAAAACCTTTGAATATTCACATAAAAAGGTACTGGAACCTGAAGAAGTAAGTCATAGAAATCTCTAGTTTTACTATAAATGGAAGAGTTATTTTCTTTGTATTTAACAGTTCCTGTTCTGAGAATATTATTTATCCTAAAACACAGACATATATTCCTGGACATTGAGGGACCCACTGGGGCTCTGCAGCTTCAAACTAAAACTTTCCTTTACTGTCTCACTTTTCTACATTGATTTATACTATAGATTAATGTCACTGCCTGTGTTTTTTATAAATGCCACACTATGGATTGACAAAGTACAAGTCTAACTTTTCAGTTTTACTGATATCTATAAAATTAGTGCTTCTTTTTATTCTAAGATCTGTCGGGACAGAATTGATAAAATAAAGCAATCAATTCAGACCAACAGCATCATTTATTAGACAGTGACAATGACCTATACCAAAATAGGACGAATTTTAAAAGCAAACTGCAAGTTTACAGTAATGAATAATGTTTAGTAATGTTTATTTATTTTCGAGCGGATCATCAATGAAGAAAAAAAAAAACATACTTGTATGTTTGTGCATGTATACAGTAAATATACAGGCAAAACACATTTAGCTAAAAAAGAAGTGGGAAGAAGAAAGTTTCTTAAATCCCATCCCTATCTTCCATTTTGGATGACTTAAAGCTTATTAGTTTTATTATCATTTTAATTTAAAATAAAAAAGTATCACATTTCAATAACTGTTTTGCCTTTTTTACCCCAGTAACTTAAAAATACTTCTTCCCTATGACCATATCAGTTCTTTTCGTGCACAGCAGTTTTCTCCCACCCCTCATTTTAATATTATTTTCATTATTTGAAACGTACAAACAGTCGTTTAAAAGACTCCTATGTTGTTGATAAAAATGGAAACATACCTGCCTGTTTATCAACCCATCCATTCTTCCATTCATCCGTATTTGTTTAACCCATCAATCAATTAATCTACCCACCCATCCATTCATTGGTCCATCCTTTTTTCTGTCCCCCCTCTATCTATCCCTCTCACTTTTTCTCCATTTGTTAATCTATCCATCCATTCTTGCATCCATGTATCTGTTTTTCTATCCATAAGTCCAAGTACACTTCCATTCATCGCTTCATCCATCACTCATATTGCACCATTCATGTAGAGGCAGCCATCCATCCATCTGTTCACCAGTCTTTCCTGTACAATCTATCCATCTTTATCCATACATTGTTTCCTTTTAGTCCATCTCTAGGAATATCTGCCAAAAATTCATCAGCAATTCATCCTAGCTGAAAAACCAAGACTTTCAGTGTGAAAGTTTACCTTTCTATTTCATTGCTGTAAATATTTTCATTGTTCATTCCAACTGCATATTTCAATCAGCTTCCTTTTTTTTATTTTTTAGTTCAAGTCTTAATTCAGGCCTCAATTGAGATCAATTGAACCCCTTGAAAATACATTATACATGACAGAAGTACATTTAGCCCTCGACCTGTGAAATGCTCGTTGACACTGGCTTTCATATAAACACAAGTTTATTTCTCCAAGTAGAAAATGTCCTCGATTGTTTTCTATAGTTGGAAGCAAGTGTAATCATTTCACTGTCATATAATGCAAAATGGCGCAGAGGGTAGCACTGCTGCCTTGCAGTAAGAGGCGTCTGGGTTCAAATCCTGGCCTCCTCTTTCTGCATGGAGTTTGCATGTTCTCCCTGAGCATATGTGGATTTTCTCCGGGTACTCCGGCTTCCTCCCACAGTCCAAAAACATGACTGTTAGGTTAATTGGCATGTCCTGTTTGTTGCCCTGTGATAGACTGGTGACCTGTCCAGGGTACACCCCACCTTTTGTCCGTAGACAGCTAGAGGCTCCAGCAACCCTCGTGACCCTTCTTTGGATAAGTGTGACAGAAAATGTATGGGGGGATGGATGGATAATGCAAAATACCTGTCAGGAAGGTTAAAATGTAAATTTTTTTTTTTTTTGGTAGAGATAAGAAACAGCTCCATCTTAAGTCTTTATTACTTTCCTATTCCCAAAATACTTGGAAAGCTGTCGAAAATGCAAAGAAGAACAGAATCCCAAAAATCCTCTAATTCTCAGATTTACCCAAAATGAAACAAACAGCAGTTCAGCAGCTGGTTGCCTGGTTTTAAATAGAAAACATTGTCTTGCTTGAGCTGTTCTTCCAATTAGCATTTAATTACTAAGGACATGATTTGCTTTAATAGACAGTGAATCATTTTTGTAGGATTTCAGCCGTTTAACAATTTGTTTTTGTTGAATGTGTAGCTTAGATTAATGCTCGTTGCAGCCTCTTCGTCCAAGATCTTTGGTTGGTTTTCACTCACTGAGCATGATTTGCACATGACCCTGTAGTATAAAACAGGACCCAATGTTGAGCCCTGATGTACACCAAGAAAAGTTGCAAATTCACATGAACACCCCGTTTTCTCTTTCTCTAGTTTGATTTTTGTAGTGGGAAAAAAGTATTCAACTATTCACCCTAGTTAAATAAACGGAGATCGATGGATTTCACTCAGTCGGCACATTTATTCATATCTTTGCAAAGAGAGAACAGTCATCATACAGCCCTAATGGCACAGCATTCTGCCCTGTTCTGATCTAGGCAGCGTTTGTTCCCCCTTACTTACAACAATGGAAAGTAGTCAGAGTCAAAACAAATTACAGACACTTTGGTTAAACAGTAACATGTTATGAATAAACCTTGAGAAAGAATCTGGTTTGTTATGGGAAGAAGCTGCTGGTTTACAAATACTATCCTGCAGAGAATGGTGTGGCCTCCCATTTACTCACTTTTATAGTGAGTAAATGGGAAAGTTAATATATAATAGAAGAAAAATCAAAATTTTCCGACAACAGACCACCCTTTCGATTATAAAAGGATTATTATTATTTATTCGAGCTAAATTGTCTGAAAATAAAAAATATTAAAGTAATTTTGGAACGAGCAGTTGTTAATAGTGTTGCATTGCAATAACAAAGCTGTCCTTCCTGTGCATGTTTGGGTTTTATTCTGCGCACAGTTTAAAAGCATGACTGCCAGTTTAAATGTTTAATCTAAGTTGTCCTTATGATTGACTGACTGTGAATTTTCAAATGTCCAATGTGCCTCTGTGATACAGTGTTTAATTTGATTTACAAATTCTCTTCGTTTTTCTTTATATCAGTTGTTGTCTTTTTAGAAAATAGGCTGGCAATATCTTGCGCTCATAGGTTGGTAATCTAAGAAAAATTAAACCTTTGTTCTAAAATCTTTGAAAATTGGTATTTCATAATGGGTAATCTAAAAAATAAACTTGACATCAACACTGAGCTTTACCTTAAAGAAGAATAACATGCTTCCCCTTTAAATGTCTTTTTAGCCTCTTTGCATTATAATATTATAATGGGAGAGGCCCTTTAAGCAAACATATAAAAGATTGAAAATTGTTACTACTAAGAATTGATTTTTTTTTATAAATGTACCACATTTATAATATGTTCTCTGTACAAGTATGCTGACTAGTTAAGAAGAACCTTAGCATAATTTAGATTGTTGGTAAACTGTCAGTATATGCCAACCTTGCTTCATAGTATAAAGAAATGCAAATGTGTTTGCAAAGCTCAACTCCTCAGAGAGATGATATGTCATTTTTCGTTTCCCAGAGGATAATACGGCTCATGACAGAACTCTAAAACCTGCACCCAGGCAATCCAACGTCTGCCCGTTTCTTATTAATACAGCCTCGATCTTTCAAAGGAAAATACTGAAACAAATGGCACAACAGCATGTGTTTATTTGCGTCTGCACACTTGTTTATATGACTCTTTCTGCCCACAATAAGTTAATTTTAGACTATAAACGCTGCATCAAAAGTAAACGGTGTGAAAACCACAAAAAAGAGAAAATTCTCAAGTGACTGTCGCTGCTCTTTTTAGACTCATTTTC